CATGAACTCAGCAGATGGCCTCTGGCAAGTTTCTATTCTTCACCTCAGCCTCTCACCTGCAGTTAATTTGATAGGACTGTTGAATGGGTTGCAGAGATATTACTTCCTTGTAGGCAACCCAGCTGAAGTCACCTGTTCATTGAACTCAGAGGAGCATTTGCAAATATCCTCTGCTCAAGTAAAACTATTTCCAATCATTCCAGTCATCATGTCATCAACATAGTTCTTGGGAAGAATCTGAATTTCAACAGTTTCCCTTATTTTATTTTTATTATGTACTTTCAGTTTGCTTGTTCTTTTTAATTCTGTGCTTTCTTCAATTCCTACAACTATAATTGTATGTTATACTGATAAATTACAGCTGTTGCTAATCTGTGTCAATTATGCAGTCTAATCACTGTGGACAAAACAAATCACAGCAATATCACAATATTGCTATCTGCAATCTGGGAAGTCAGCCATTTCTACCTAGATTCTGCATTAAGCCACCTGCCAATTGTGGAATCTTGGTTGAGCTCATTCCAGAAGACAGTGGCTTGTTTCCTATCAATAAACACAAAGTTAAGAACCCCAACATACGTTAAAGTCTGTGAGCACACATGGGAAGTTTTTGTTACACATGCAATTCTTAAAAATTTATCTGTACTGCAGAGACAATTTTCTTTATCAAAATCATATAAGAGTGCAACTGGCACAAGCATAGGCTATATCATGTGCAGAGTGTATCACAATATTGTCTCTTCTGCATCCAACACCAAAGGAAAGTGCGCACTGTGTGAAACCAGTCTGTTGCAGTCTTTGGTTGAATCTGTTTGTGCCAGCTCACCACCTGAATAACTGCAATATAACATGATGGTTGAATATTCTGAAGAACCGATAGGTGTGAAAGGATGATTTGAAACAAGGGAGTAGAAAGGTGTAAAAGATAACAAAGAAAATTACTTAACCCAAAGAAGGGAAGGGGTTAAAATCAGATAGCACAAGGTGTGGGGAAACAGGCACTTAGGCAGGAGGGCTAAATACTTCCTGGTGGTTTATTGACAAGCTGTGCAGAACAAAATGAGCCTATTGTAGCTCACCAGGGGCAGGGCTGGACTGGAAAGAAGGGCCAGTGTTGGAGCAGCACAGAGTAGGCAGGCGGAAAGATTGTAAACTCCTGGTATCCCAGCCAATTAGAGGAAAGGAAGAGGGAAGAAATGACCGGGGGCAGGGTTCAAAAGGGGGAGGCGAGCATGTGCTGAGGTGAACAGGAAAATGGGAAGGAAACCATTTTTTTCTGTTCCCTTCATTGCAACAGTTTTAAAAAGAGCTCTCTTCATGCTCTGGATATTTTTTCTCTTCTGACGGAAAGGAAAGAGTGATTATAACAGAACCATCCCCAATCAGGCACCCCAGAAAAAGCTGTCATATTACATGATATGATTATATCACCTGAACTTTAATACTTTATCAGGGGCTGTTCAACTTTTTAGGTGTCAAAATGTAAGGCGATGGTATGGACCTGCCCTACATCTGAGTGGGTAGGTAGAAGGGCTACTGTGGCAAAAATGGCCCATGAAATGTTAGGTATTTTAGACAAGAAAGTTGTTCTAAGACTCATCTCTGAAAACTCATTAGAATCACCGGGCTCAGCTGTGGGAGCTTACCAAAATCTTGGAGGCAAAGTTTGTCAACCTCATGCCCAGATAAGAAGGCCTGCTTTGGATTAATTTCCTGTATGTATTTTGCTAGCATTTAAAGCAGAGAAGACATAGGCCACTACTAATATTTGCTTGTTGATGATCAGAAATTAGAATTAGGGATGGCAATTTGTGTATGCCTGGGGATCAATAGATTTTAGACATTTTCCTGCATCAATGGATGTTCTTCATGTGTGGTAAAGTTCCCTGACAACCTGCCACCTTCTGACAGGAACAGATTTCCAGTTATGGAGCCCTTGTATTCAGGAACAGAAGTGCTCAAGAATAGCAGCTACAGATGATACAAAAATTAAAAATGGAGGTGTGATGTGTAAGAACTTGAGATATTCTGTACCTCAAAACCAGAAGTGAAACTGTAGCTGAAACTCTTTATTCTACCTTGTTTAGCTACGGGCCAACAACACCTTGTCTGATGGGCTATTTATTTAGTTAGTTAACAATTTTCTAGTCCACCCACCACTGATGTCTCAGGATGGCTACCAAATTTGCCACCCCTAGATTCTGCAACTTGGCATACAGGATTGCACAAACGTGGCATACAGACAGCTTGAAAATAATGTATTTTCTGCCAGGGAAGAAGACAATCCACAGAGGAGGTAGGCCTGTGAGTGTCTGTACAGTGTGTGCGTTTGTGCGTGCTCAAGCATATGCATGCACATACAAGAGAGATTTTCTGCACTCTTTCAATATATTCAATTCCCACAAGTGAGAGGATTCCAGTTCAAGAAGAAGAAAGGGATTTAAACATGTGTTTTGAACACATGAACTATGAATCCAGCCTTTCAGCTGTGGAATGCTATTAACTGCAGTGCAGAAGCTCAAAGTAAAATTTTGCAGAAAAAGTGCTGCACTATGTCAGGTTGCGCCACAGTTCACCACATCAAACTCTGCACTAATGTTCTAATTAAAGAGACAGAAAGAGCAAATGAGAGGAAGCACCAAGCTTAGCAAACTTGACAGGCATTTAATCTCTCCGCTTTGCCCCTACACACCTTGCCACTTCCTATGAAATATTCCAACTCCACCAGGCAGATTCAATAGGCATATCAAAGACACATGCCTAGAAATATCACCCCTCTGGTCCCAGCTAAGGCGGAACAGAAATGCCATTGCGCTGTGCAGGGCAAGAATTAGGACAGAGTAGCTCTTGGCCACTTGAGCATGGAAAAAGTGGGCAGGTCAAAGGTGAAGCTGTGTCAGCATCTGGTATGTGAAGCATGGCTCCAAACTCACATCTGGCACATCTAGCAAGATGTGAGCAGGCCCAGAAATTGGCAGCATCTTGTGTAGTGGCTGGAGAGTCAGATCTAGGTCTTGGTAGACATAGGCTCAAATCTCCTCTTGGCCATGAAACTCTGACCTTGGGCCAGGCACTGCCTCTCAGTTGTAAGGCAACATGGGTGAGAATTCCCTCTTTCACCCTCAGCTTTCTGGAAGAGGGACAAGCTAAAATATAACAAACACTATTTTCAGATGCCCTTAACCCAAAGTCTATTTCTTCACATTTGGCTATTTCATCTCAGCCACTTGGCTGCTATGATAGCAAGGAGCTAGTTCATTTCTGAAGATTTTTTTTTTTTACTATTTGTCCACCTTGAGGGCAAAGGGTCTTCACATGTCTTAATGAGGAACAGCAAATACAGTGTATGTTGAGCTCTTTTTCTGCACTGCCAAACAATCGCTGCTTTCTAGCATTAGCCAGAGGCTTGCCTCTTCCCTGGGTCTTTCAATCATAGCAGAGACCAGCAGCTTCTGTAAAGATCAGGTAAGTCCAATTTACATTTTGAGTGGTATACTTTACTGTTGGGCTAGGAGCAACTAGACAACCAGATGTAACCATCAGTAAACTTATGTTCCTAGGGACTCAGTTGCCACCTTAGTAAGAGACCAACAGCTTCAAGCCCTTGATAGCATATCATTAGGTGATGTGATTAAAAACTAACAAACTCTCTTCTGTGTAAAGGCTGAGCTGTTAGCAGTTGTCAGCCAGGTGTTAGTCCTGAGGACCTCATGGAAACATACACAGGCAGCAAGGCCTTGTTACTCAGGCAAAGGCCCAGCCCAACAACGAGCTTATTTAAGCTCTTCTTGCTTGAGAGGGCCCAATAGCCAGATTAGGTGGGCAAAGCTGGCCCACAGCTTGAGAATATTTAATGGTGCTAGAAGATATTTTAAAGTAGCTGGTGATTATATGCACATTTCTCACTACAGGAGTTTGTGATAGATATGTGTGTTACAGCGAATATTTCATATGCGTGATCTTCATGCAGCGTGGTGTACAAGTTGTTGCTTGCCGTTTCCTACCTTGGAGGATTTGCCACATAATTTTGTAGTGTGCAAGAGGGCCTTTAGCAAAGAAGCATATTTAACATATAATAAAGGACACAGTCTACAATGTGTCCTGTGCAAACTGCATTTGTGTAATGTAAATACTACATCTGTGTAAATCAATATTTATCCGGAGTAATATGTAAAGTATTACTAGCTTGTTATGATCAACTCTTTCCTTTCCATCGGAAGAGAAAAATATTCCAAGCATGCAGAGAGTTCTTTATTGCAATGAATGGAACAGAAAAAAATGGTTTCCTTCCCATTTTTCTGTTCACCTGAGCACATGCTCGCCTCCCCCTTTTGAACCCTGCTCCCGGTCGCTTCTTCCCTCCTCCTTTCCCCTAATTGGCTGGGGTACCAGGAGTTTACAATCTTTCCGCCCGCCTACTCTGTGCTGCCCCAACACCGGCCCTTCTTCCTGATCCAGCCCTGCCCCCGGTGGGCTACAATAGGCTCATTTTGTTCTGCCAAGCTTGTTAATAAACCACCAGGAAGTATTTGGCCCTCCTGCCTATGTGCCTGTTTCCCCACACCTTGTGCTATCTGATCTTAGCCCCTCCTGTCCTTTGGGCTAAGTAATTTTCTTTGTTACCTTTTTAAATTTTTCTACCCCCTTGTTTCAAATCATCCTTTCACATCTATCATAGCTGACCCACTACTTTCCCTTAATTGCTAAAGTGCTAAACAGGATCACAGAAGTGTAATTGTTCTAGGGATTAATGAAACTGAAAAGGGTATCCTTTGAAATCTTAGATTTAGTTCCTTCACTCCTGTTTGCTATTTCCCCAACATATTGTTTAAAAGTCTCCCACCAGCTATTCAATTTTTGCCTCTGTGGTACCATGACAACCACATGACCAGCTGCAAACACACCACAGTTGTTAGAGCTTAGCTCAAGAAGGTTCTTTAGCTGATGACTCATCTTCTTTGAAGGAGTTCAGATTTAGCGATATTTTATGTAGCTTTAAGATGCATCGAGCCTACCAACCAATTCTGCCATGTGGCAACAAATACCTTCAGCAAAAATGGGACAAAGCTACATACGAAAAGCACAAGAAAAAGGTAAGCATAACGTCTTTGATAATAGAGAGCATAGGAATCGCTGAAGGGAAATGCCTTTGCATTTTTGCCAAGGGCACAAACAATTAACTGTTGCTCAGGGTTTCAGTATGCACTCCACACGGCTCCCTCTCAACCTCACATTGCAAAGCAAGCGCAATATCATGCCAAGATTTAGATTCAGAAAATCCATCCAATTTCAAAATCTTTTCATGTAAAAATGCAACATTTCCCACAGATACTATAGGCCATTTCCTGCATTACTTTTTGTGCTACAGACATATTTCTATGAAAAAAGACATGGATGCATTTAATGGGTATTTCTACCACAGTAACATAGTGCCTTGATTAATGTATCCCATGCATAGAGAAAAGAAATGGTCATGCCATCTGTGCAATTCTTCTGCACAGATGACACATAATTGTTGTTTTTCTGACACAAAGGTTGTGGCATATGGGGAACCCAGGGCTTGCTTTTGGAGGGACCTATTGGAAACTAGAGTTGGCCATCTCTGGGTGACATCATTGCAATTCATTGGCAGATTAGTGTAATCATTAAGAAGATTGCTATCTTTGCCCTGGCAGCCCAGAACATCAGCCAAAATGTTGTAAAGACAACTGCAGTAGATGGCAAGGCAGATAATTTTTTCTGAGCAAAAAGATATTTGTGATGGTAATGTTGTCCTTTTTTTCTGTACAGTATTTGCTCATACTGTCATCAGCAGACTAGCATTGTAGCCTATTTTCTGCTTTATGAATTGTGTTATGAGTTTATCACAGTTTTTTACTGTTTTACTGCATCCCATGAATTTTTTTGATGTATTTTTCAGGCATCTTTATCTCTTTTTGCTCCTCTGTGGTTGCTTTTGTAAATGCCATTGAACCACAGACAAATATATCGGCATACTCTATATTAATTATTCCTCCTATTGTCAAGGTATAAGGATGAGTGCTGATGCTAGCATAACCAAACTGACACCAGCTGCACAAGAGGGAGAAATACAATCCATCTTTAGAAAAAAGGGGGGAAACATCGAAAACAGCCCAATTGAGCATTCTTAGTGGCAGAGAATGCTGATCAATGATTGGAGATAGAGTGCAGGAAAGCAGAGGAAGATAATGGAATGGTGCATTCTGGGAAAGGTATGGCCACCTGACAGCTGACAGGTGGATTGGTGGGGAGAGACTCAGGTTTGAATCCCCGGTTACCTGTGATGGTTACAGAATAGCCATAAGCCAGTAGGATCCATGTTGTGGGATTGTGTGAAGATAATATAGGAAAACTGTGTATATGCTACTCCGAGTTCCCTGGAGGAAAACTGGAAAGCAAATATAATTAATGAGTAGTTACAGTATGCAACTGTTTTAGTAAGATTCACCTCCATCTTTCAGTCTAACTAGAAGATATGAAAACAGTTGTTTTTGTTAGAGAAACATTTAACTATATTGTACCTTATCTCTTTTTAAATTCTTCAAGTAAAATTATTTCTGATTAGTGTGCATGCACACACTTGCAGTTCAATTTTATGAAAATAGGTAAATGGTTACATACTTCCTCTTATTAATGCTTGGAATTAGTTTCTTATCTAGGTCACAGCATCCTGAACATAGCAGAGAAATAAGGCTTTTTAGCTCTGTAATGAACAATTGTGCAACTTCCTTCTGAACATCCTTAGCATTTTATACAATTTAAATCTAACTTCCTCTAGTTGTGAGATTCAGCCACACATTAACTCATGTAAATCATTAAAGTTTGTATGTACCATGACACAACAATCCTGTATTTGGCTGCAATCAGGTTAGTTTTTGTGATAAAGTTATAGATAAAAATCCTGGAAAAATGAAATCTATTTATACAGCTAAAAACAGACTGTTAGGTTTGGTGATTCTTGTGCCAGTTGCTATTCATTTGTATTCATACATGATGACTAGGGTTTTGCCTTTATGAGATTGTTCAAGTTTATATACAGAGAAAGCGTAATTACTATATGAAGTCCTCATATAATCACTTTATAGCAGGGGTGAGCATTTTGCAGTCCACTGACAGCTAGAGGGTCACGAGCCCTATCAGTACTAGCCAGCATAGCCAATGGTGAGGGATGATGGGAGCTGCACTCCAACATCTGGAGGGGCACAAGTTGCCCCCAGATTTAAACTGACTTATTGGATGTCCGTTTGTTTTTCAGATGTGGATAAAGATCACTGCTATGAGATTAAATTAATACTTACTGAACCTCTATTTGTTAATGTGAACACATTAAAAAATATTAGATTCTTGAATGCTCCTCGTAAGGGTTTAGATCCAGTTTGGAACCTTGTCAAATTTAGAGTAGACCACTAAAATCAAAGAGACTACTTAATCACGATTGATTTCAATGAATCTGTTTTTAGTACAATCAAGAATATAATTCTATGCATTTATACTGTCAGGTGCTGTAGGGTTTATACATCTTGGGTTGCCTTCCACGTAAATAATGCTTTTCACTTTGGTTTATGTCAAAGTGTCTTATATTGCTGCTTGGATTATAAATGCCAGCTCTATCTCTTCGGCTGCTCAGTCTGCCTTCTTATAGGATCAACATAATGAAGCATAGATAGGGAGGAGGTTTTGGAACACAATGATTTTGCGTGTGATCCCAAGACGCAAAGGACATACCCACAGCACAGATTCGGCATAAAAACAACTCTTCATCCTTGTGCTGAGCTGCCGCGTTCTTCTAGGAACTGTTTACTCACATTGCAGGGCACTATGGTTCTTGTTGCTATGGGTTTTTATTTGGTGTTTAGGTGGCAACTATTTCATTTCATTCTGTTGCATAAATACTGTGTTTTGATTTATAAACCTGAGGGCAACTGACCTTGTATAGATGCGTTCCTCCAGAGAAGGCAGCATGTAAATATTTACTTATGGAATGTGCCTTTATTAGAAGTGAAGCACAAGCAGCCTTCTGCTATTAGCTTGGGGGAAACACCCTCGCATAACAATTCACAAGGTGGGAAGAGAAGGTGTAAACAGAACATAAATGAAGGATGTTAGAAACAGACAAGTGTGATAGAAAAAGGAGGGTGATGGTTTAAAATAAAAAGGAATGGAAGAAAAGTGGAACAATGCAATCCTATGTGTCGACTCAGAGGTAAGCCCCATTGCATCTAAGCTGCCTGAGGCTTCAACCCTATGAAAACTTCTATGTGAGACCCACTGAACACAATGAGGTTTGCTTCTGGGTAAGCGTGCATAGGAGGCAAATGTCTTTCTAAAGCTGCAATCCTGTGCACAGGTGCCACTTAGTCTGGGTCTTGTTCAATGAGAGAAAGGCCACTGAACTTCTGAGCGGATGCATATATGCATAAATAGTCCAATCACTTAGATTAATAATCCTTACTATACTGCTGGAAGGAAAGCCAGTAAGATTTTTCTTATTCCCTTATTATGGAGAAAGGGTTGATGCCGATATATAATGGCTTGTATACTCAGAGCCAGTGAGTTCATAGATAAACTGAACCATGAACTGGGGAATCGGGAACTGCTATACACTACAGCAATAATTTCCCTTTCATTCTGTGGATAAGTCTGAAAACACACATGCACACTTTTTTTATTTTTTGCTGCAGATCCAGACAGCTAAACCTGTCATTGACACCTCTACTCCTCCAACATATGGACATCTTCATTTGAAGCTAAGAAAACTCAAGGTAGGATGTTGCTTAGAGTCTGTTACAGAGGGAGGGAGGGAAGCAGCCCTTTAAACATTGCCAGTTTTATTGCAACATGAGCTTTCATGGGTTGATGTTACAATACATGTGTTAGTCTTCACGGATTGGCAGCACTTCATTTTTGTATCCTGCTACATTTTTATCTCAAAATAAATGGTTCTATGCTCTCTAACAGGGGAGTACACTTTTCACCATGAGGACCATGTCCAGTGTCTGCCAGGAGACCAAAGATGTGTGTGTGAGATGTGCACACACGTGCGTAATTAGTGTGTGACATGTAGTTTCTTTGCTGCCACTGGAAGGGCGGGGAAGCTCTTATTATTTATATGTAAGCAGGGCTGAATTCTGCAGTGCACTTTCAAAAAGTACCCCACATCCTTTATATCAACTCAGAAATAAACAGGACTGAATCACTCAGATTACCCAGGAGGTCCCAGACCACTTTCCCCAGCAAGGAAAACTCTTTGCTCTGAACAGCAGCTAATGGGAGATGAGATGAGCTTTTGGAAGGGGATGGGTTTGGGGAAGAGACTGGCAAGATCAGCTCGACAGTGGGCAAAAGTGGGTGGGGCTCCCTAAAAGAAAAACTTGGTGACAATGTTCTCTGTCCTTCATCTGGATAAATAAGGGCATTTTGCATTACTTTTCTGCAAGCTCCAAATCAGAATTTCCCGATCTTGTGCACTCCAACTGTTTGCACATCACCTCCAACAAGCTTCAGCCACGGAGACTGATGGTCAGAAGTTCTGGATGTTCTGGTTCTAAACATCTGGAGGGCATCAGGGTGGAGAAGGTTGTTCTATGTGCTTCAGCAGCATCCTGCACTTGTTTTGTGGCTATTGTGGATTTTGCGATGTTAGAACAAGTTCTACAGTTGTGTCCCACACAGGCAAAATTGCAGATATAAAGTGGGGGGTAAGCATTATAGCTGTCTTTTGTAAGAAAGGACAAATAGGACATGATTGGCTTTTAAAAACTTTCCTACACATTGGCAGTTAACTGACTGTATCTACTTTTTGTTTGGCACACAATTAAGATCAAAGCGCTACAGGAAAGGTGTATCCTGATTTTTCATTTTATAACCTCTAGGTGGAACTATGGTACAGTAAAATAGCACAAATACATAAGTGAAAAAGTGGTTTATTTCACTTTTTTTATTTAACAACATTTTTCCTGCCCTAAAAGAGCCCAGTAAAAGTATCATTTAGACACAGAAGAGAAACTGTGGGGCCATGTTGGCATTTAAAGAACATATAAACAACTATGAGCAGGGAATGATAAGTGTATATTAGAAAACTCCTAACAGTAAATCTTTGTGTCGTTTCATGTCTCAAGCTGGATCGGGACCGCCTGTCAGTCATTGAGCGAGACAATCGTTTGCTGCTGGAAAAGATATCTTACATCATAAGGACTACAGGAAGAATAGATAACAAAAATGAATATGAGGCCAAAAGGTAGGTAAAGTTTGCAATGAGAATGGTATACACTCTATAGAGTGACCTAATTCTTTTGACAATGTTGGCCATGACAGTGAATAAATTAAAACCTGCCTTAATAAGAGGCTTTAGTTCTGTTTCGTAGAACTAGACCTTGTGGCTCCAAAATGTTACTGGAAAGTTCACTTCTATGGCCATTTTTCTTTTTTTAAACCCCTCTTATTGCAAGTCGCACTGGGAACCCCTGAATCAGAGCAGTTAGGTCTGGTGTTGTCCGAGGCTTTTCCCAAACATGTGTCCTCCTCATAGGATGAACTACAACTCCCATCACTGGCCAGGCATAATGGAAGGCATAGTTCAACATATTTGGAAGGCACTAGGATAGAGAAGTCTATGCATAGGAATCTCTAAAGCAGAAATTTTGGATCTTGCACTACTGAGACTCCCACTAAATCCTAAGGAACATTTTTTAACTGACAGTACTAAAATATTCATAATTTGAGGAAGGAATAAGCAGTGAACAGGCAGGAATACAAAGGTTGGTGGTACTTTGAAGACCTGCCCAGAGCAAGCAGCGATGTCCTATTAGCCTGAAAAGGAAGCAGCACATTTCCATTCAGTGACCTCAGAATAGGGGTGGCAGAGAACTGCAATTTCAGTTTAACTTTTTGGATTCACGGAGGCTGCTGAGCACAGAACAGTAAGAAAGAACATCTGTCGGATAACATTTAGGATTTCTCTAGGGAAAGATGGTTTCAAGCATGAAGTCTGTCAGCTCTTTCTCTGCTATATGTTGGATGACTGAGAATATTTTGTGTTCCAATGCCATGTCTGGAGAAAAATGGATTCAAAGAAAGCTATCACACCATGGCAGTAGTTTACTAATACTCACGGCATAATTAGAATTTAGCCTACGGCAGCCCTGCAGCTAGCTATATATCCTTTTCTAGTCTACAAAAACGCTTGTCAGCTCGCTCCGTGAACTTGTGTTACAAATTGGTTTGGTGAGCTACTACTTTCTGAAGGAAAGGCTACTCACTCATATACTATATTAGTTTTCCACTATTGGTTTATGTCATTTTACTAATATTCCTTTTGTTCCCTACATAAAGTAGTCACCAGTGGCTGCTGTATTACTAAAAGTGTAATTCTGTGCATGTTTAGAAAGAAAAAAAATCCTGTAACACCAAGCATCTCATGATGGCTCTGGCATGCTGGGAGCTGTAGATGTTTTTCTGTTTAAAGATGCATAAGACTGCACCCTTAATAGTGTAGCTGCTCATTTGTGCTTGGCCTCTGCATATTAATGAATAGCTAGATAATTTATTGCATTAGCTTATATTGGCTTTATAAATCAGCTTAAACAGAGAAAAACGAGGGCAAGAATTACTAAGAATAAGCCAAGAGAATCACGCTATTCTGGAACGGATTATAAAGTGTAAACCTCAGTACAGGGTCCAGAAGTGGAATGAAGAATGGCAAAAGACTGAAAGCTACACGAACAGTATTGCAAGATATCCCCGAGAACTGTGCAAATTGCAGGATCAAAAGGTAAGTCAGTTGCCAGATATGCCCAAGTATCTACAACTCAATGGAGCCATACTTCCTATCTTCCATTTCCAAACAATGCTTCTTCCCATCTCTTTGTTGGGATTGAAGGAATCTATACTAGTGTAAAGCTGGAAAATTGTATAGCTGTCCCAGAAATAGTGCAAAAGAGAAAATAAGTGGGAGTATGCATGACAGTACCATTTTCTCTTGTGTACTTGGCATTATTTAGCAGCAAAATTTATCTAAAATAAAGTGACTCCCTGAATCTGGCTTCAGGGAGCAACTTTAGTGGATCAAGATAGACAGGACCTTGGCAGATGTTTGCAATGTGCATGAAACATTTATCTGTTAAGATAGGAATTCTGAATATGTAACATCTGAGATATGAAATACTCTTCATTTATAAGTCTGCTCTGTTTCATTCATGTTCCTGATCAGCAAGCTGGTTGAAGTGTGGGCTGGATGGTACTACCACGTGGATCCACAGACACCATTGTGCTCCTCTAGTTTACCTTCTGGTTTTGTGAGAATCCCGAAAATGGGATATTATTTCTGAAAGCCCTGTTTGTACTTTTGCACTGGTATTCTCCCCCTGTAGGACAGCTCCACCTAGAAGGTGGTGCTCTGATCTCAACTCTGTCACGAAACTGACGGCAGATACAGGAAAGCTCTGAGTGTATCCATTCACAGGAATGACTTTATTTAAGCCACATAAGCTGCAGCATTTGCAGTCAACATCCTGAAAATTCAAGCCACAACTGCAGCTTGTTGTGTCCTCTAAACCTAATGGTAGTGGGTTGTGTGAGAATTAAACAGCCCTCTGAAACATTACTCAAAAACAGATCAGGGGTTCAGTATTGCCATTGGCACATGCTACATTCCACCTTATTTCAGATGGCAGATGCCTTGAAAACATTTCTGTGAAAAGGATCCTAAAGTGGCAATCGGTCACAAGCTGAATATGTCAGTGTGATGTGGCTGTAAAAATGTAATTTTAGGTGGCTCTAGTCAGACCTCACTTAGATTGCAGTCTGGAGATTGCATCAGTGGTCAATTTCTGGTGGGGTGGGTAAGCTCTGACAATCTCTCAGTTGTGGGAAACATGGTACAGCTAGTTCTGATATTGGAGTTCATAGTTTATGTATAGTAACAGTTTGCAAAAGAAGCTGGTAATTAAAAACTCCTTTCTGTTCCCATTATGTATTATGTGAACCCACCCTCTTGCATAGCCTCACAAAACTCAAATTTGTGAGTCTTTGCATCTAGTTAACACACGGAGGCCCAACCAGCCTATAAGTTCTTGTTCAGGATAAAGGCATATGTCTCCCTTCCCCTCCTCCCAGCTTTGCACCCCGCAAATAGCCAACAGTCTTGAAGTACTTGCCCTTCTGGTGGCACACATCCGTGGAGCAAGGTTTGTCTGTTCCTGTGAGAGAGGCTTCCCCAGTCTCTCCGAGCTTGAGGCTTCTCCCATGCTTCCACTCCAGGTATTAGGTATTGGATATGCCAGCAGCTCTTCCATCTCTCCCTGCTGGGTCCTTCCAGTCTCCTTGCCAAAGGAAGGCAGGGCAAGGGACTGCAGAAGGGATCCTCTACCTTTTTCTGGACTGATACAGCCATTCCCTCTCCTCCTTCCAGCCCTTCTCTTGCTACCTCCCAGAACTTAATAAGTCTGCCCTGGATGACCCCCGCTGTAGCTGATGTAGTTTCACTCTCCCCCAGCTGGGCTAGTCTAACCTCACTGACTGGAAGCCGTCTCAGGCAGCCTTCCATTCCACCTTTATCCTCCTACCTGGCTGCTTGGGAATCCCCAGCCAGAGCATGAGGATGACTTCACCTGGTGAGACATGGAAGTCTCTTCCATATTAACAGAGATATATCTACCTGATGCATATTTAACAAATAGGTGCCTGTCTTTCACCAAGTTGAGCCTTACTGCTGTATAATATTTTTAAAAAGGAAATTACAATCCAATATAATATTTAAATGGACAAAAAAACCCTGTGATTAGCAAAAATGGCAAACAAGTGTTATTTCTGAATTCTTCTAATCTACCTGTAATACATATTGCAACACAGAAACAACTGAACCCAAAAAGGTATCAAATCTCCGGTTTCTATGTTTATGTTCAAAACTTGCTCCAGGCAAAACTCATTCTATACTGCCTTAAGGTTAGGGTTAGGCATCATATTTAACTGTCTTCTGCAAGTTCACTCATCTGTTAAGTGGCAAATAGTATTTCCCTCACTAGGTGACTGACATGTTCTGAGCAGTCCTTAATTTGCCTCCCCCTTCTTCCTGTTTTGTTCTTAACCAGCAGAGCCTAGCAAAATGCAAATAGCCCAGAGAAAGAAAACAGTTTAATTAGAGTGGCAGAAAGAAAGAAAGAAAGAAAGAAAGAAAGAAAGAAAGAAAGAAAGAAAACAGGACCCTTACAAGGAGGCTGGTCCTGACAGAAAACAGTCCTTTATTCTAGAAAGATAGTCCTCTATTTGAGGGTAGCATCTATTGGAAAGGATGTCTAGTCCAAGTCTAGATCAAAAGCAAAGCATCATGAGGACAAAAGGCCCTTGAAGTTGCCCATCACCAGTTAGTATCTGACAGCAGTTTGAGCAGGTGCAGAGGTTACATGGTCCGTCTTCTCCACTATCATGAGAGATACTGGGGGGCTTCACTGTCAAAAGGTACTCAGGAAGATGGAGAAATGAAACCCTCTTTTCAGTAGCACTTGTTTTTGACAGCTGTTGAAAGCAGAGGTTTATTTGAAAAGAGTCTCTGGAATGGATGGAAAGGCTGAGAGCAATGTGGGGACACTAAAAACCCTGCGGACCACACTGTGAAGGAGGCAAAATGTTGCCTGCCCTCTATCACGAGCAAAGATGAGTCACTGCCCTGCTCTGATTGGACAGCTCACCTTTTGACAATTTAGAGTGAAACCCATTGAAATCAACTGCACAAGAAAGTAATGACTACTTTCAGCCCCACTGATTTGAATGGCTGAAATTTGAATGAAAGCTGAATTTGGAGGTACAAGAAAAATGTGGGTTTTCATGAAAACTGGATACTGATTTTAAAGTTATAATTAAAATGTGTGAATTCTCCCTTAATCAAAAGAAGGGCATTTTTATCCTTCTTTCTGCCTGCAAAAATGAACTGAAGGGACAGAATCTGCCTTTCCTATCCCTTGAAGGCCAGTTTTTATGTTTTCAACTAATGCTTTCACTACTGAGCTGCCTCAAAGACCTTCAGAAGCAAGTCTTAGAGGTTGTACAAAAAGAAAGTCTTCTTTCCCTAAAAAGAATTTGAACCTGCTATCCTTCTGCAACAAATGAAGATGTATATAAACCTTCTAAGGAATAAATTTCAAGTTGCAAAGCTTCTAGCTAGCTTATATGTATCACAGATTCTCAAAACATTCCTCAAATCCAAATTCCTGGACCCAGGAATAACTCAAGAAAGACTATCAGTTCTAAATACCATTAATATCATTTCAGATTACCAAGGCATATGCTCAGAGAATAAAATATAGAAAAATTCAAAACAAGGATAAAATTTAAAATATGGTAACTGAAAGGGCAAATAAAGTGACAACTTGTTCTAATATGTTGTGATCATCGTTAATAATACTGATTGGAATCTTAAGGTTAGTGGGGTCTATGTAATTAATGTTACTTTTCAATTACAGAACACATAAGCATATTTTATTAGAGCTATACATATTTGTATATGCAGACCCTGAATGTAACATTTATTTATCCCTGCACAGGAAAAAAAACTTAAGAAAACACCAAAAAGAGAAAAACAGAACAACAAGCATTTGAAAGATGGATATCCAACAGCCAAATCAGAAGAGAGGAACAAAAACTTCACCAAAGCAAATATCAAAGAGAATATTCACTAGAAAACATGTAATTTCAACCTCTATGGTATTAGTACTAACAGTGGCTATTATTTTTAAACTAAATCCTCCTCTTCCTCATCATCACATTCATACCACACCTTTTTTTCCTTTTGGAAGGAACTCAAGTGGCCTACATGATCGTCATTCTCACTAGTTCAGCCTTGCAAGACCCTGTGCAGTAGGACATGTGAAGCAGGTGATGGGATTCCTCAGGAAATCATCCTTGTTAAACTAAGGGTAGATATTAGACATAATTAGATATAAGCAGAGTTGCTAGAGCAGCAGTTCTGAGCATATTTGAAAATTAAATTCCTTCAAAACCTGTGCAGATTGCTTCCAAGAAAGCAGGCTGGAAAGCAAATGCATGTAAATATATGCATCCTTTTTATGCTTGATAGCTGAATCATAGGAAGCCATTGACAAGGCAAGACTATACATACCAGATATACTAATCTGTGCTCTTGTAAAATAACGGGGGCGGGGATTGTTATCTGCATACTTCCAGAGAACTGAAAGACATGTGAAATTAAGTTCGTGCTCTGAAAAATGATGGCAATCAAAGCAGGAAAGGAGCTAGGATGAGGAGCCAGGTTTGGCTGGAGAGGAACCTGAGATATGTGCAGGAGCTGGCAGGAAGATTGCAAGGGAATGAGAGGAAGAACAAGTCACAGCAAGCCCAATCATCTGGTGGAGAACTGTGGGTTGTTCTGTGAACAACAAATCCATGGTAGCTTATTTGCAGGGTGACTCAGTATGATGTCTGAACCCATCCACTAGAGCTTACTTTTTACTAAATAAAATTAATGTGATGCTGTCGACCACCTAAATGTCACTAAAGAATATTAGCACTGGTTTCTGCTGTGTGTCTCCTTACCTGCTACAGAAAATCACACTGATGATTTAATTCATAGTACTGGAAGCAAATAGCTGTTCTGATGGATTCAGATACACAGATGCAGAAATTCCTGTGGTAAGTTTTTCATCAAGGAAACATTTTCCTTCCATATTTTCTTTATGGCTGAGCCCAGAAATATGTAGAAGTAAATTCTCCTTTGTTGTCATCAGCAAAACAGACCTCATGATACTTCAATAAATTTTAAAAATGGGACATTTCATTTGCAACATGGAACAAAATACTTAGCTTCTATATTTCCAATGCTGTTATGTCTCTCATTCTAGAATTTCTCTAAGAAAGCAAAGAGACAGCAAAAGTTACCTGGAAAGTAACAGAAATATTGGAATGAACCAGTGAGAGCCAATGGTTTTACCTACTGATCAGATCTCGCTTTTCCTAGAAAGTCAGTCAGTGAGAAAGAAGGGAAAGAAGGGGTCAGCAGCATGGTTGTAATCAGCTACTAAATGGATGATCCCAATTTTATATTTAGAACGGGTTGCCTTTGGGGTAAATACAGTACACATAAAGGATCAATTTTCACATTTCACACAGTAAAATGCATAAAGTTAAAATAATAAAATCTGCAAGCTTAAGCAAACTGTATGTAGAAAAAGTGTATTTCCACACAGCACTGGGAATAGATCCATTCTGGCCTCAAATACAGCTATATATTTTTGTCTTATCTAAAGTTTGTGTGTCATGAGCAGCAAACCTTCAGGGACAAGAAATATGCAGGGTTGTAGGCATATGTGAGGAATTATACTTTCAAAAAAATCCTTCTGGATCTTCCTTAATGGATATCATTGCCTGTACAAAAGAATCACACACTTTAAAGAGAAAACAGCACAAAGGTTGCTCAGCCTTTGATCTGTGGAAGAGACATGCAATTTGCAATTGTAACGGTAGAGTCTGTGAAACTTGGTTGTTTAATATACCAGGTAACAAGATACTTCTGGGAAACTTTTTAAAGCTGTCTAAGGATAGCACAAGCTAAAGACCTTCTCAACTTTCTTCTCAGTGTACACTTCATGATGATGTTTGTTATTTTTAGATCAAGAATTTTCTTTTTAATCATTTTCAAATAGTATACAAATGGTATCTTTCCTAACACATAAAATTTATTTATTCTATTTGCTTAACTCCATTAACTCTGATGACCTTAATCAAAGAAAGACTACATTTTTCATTAGAATACAGTCACTAGTTTCTAATTCCATCATCTAGCAAAAGGGCTAACATGTTTATTCCTGTTGTTGTACAATTTATCTTCTAAAACACTCACAATAAGATTATTTCAACAAAAAATAAGAAAGAACATAAGTACGTACAAATAACCCCTGCAAATGGCAAACGCTGGCACCATCTCAAAGAAGGCATACATTAGTCCCCTTCCCCCAAAGCATAGCCACTATTACTGAATTAGACACGGGACACCATGTTAGCTATCAGCAGAACAGTTAAATGTGGCCAATCACAGACATGGTATCAACAACCAAACAACAATCAAACAATCTAAGGACTGAGCATGCTTAGTTCCTTCCAGGTGGCATGGAATGCTGAGCACAGAGGAACCTTAACAGGATGTTGGGGAGGAAGAAACAGGGAGAACTGGCCTGAGGCTACCACTCATTGTCCAGGATGCTATAATCTCTGTAAAAGGCTCTGACCACTTGGAAGCTGAGAGTCCTGGGGAAAATTGGTTAGGAACAAAGGAAAAGCATTTTTCCCAATCCTAATTAATCATTACCTCACTTTAAGCTGGGAACACACAGAGATCCTATAACTTCCCAGAATGACGTTAAAATAGGGTTGGTGGGTAAGTGCCACAAGACACGCATCCCTCAACCTTCCTTTCACTCCTCCGTACACCACAGAGATAAAAATGCACATACACAATGTATTGTGCAGGCCTGGGACTTGGACAAGCAACTTCCTGTTCACCTGGCCATGAACCCCACAATATGGGCTAGAGAGCTGCCCTTTATCTGAGTATGCAAAAGCTAGAAATATGTCCCAGCTAAGAGATACACCAGGGAAAAGTGCTGATAAAACCACTCTCCAGATGTCTAGAGAGGATTACTGTGATGCTAAGGGCACTGGGGTAAATACAGGGGAAAGAACCTCTATAGATGTGGTCTTCAGCTAAATATATGCATTGCCTTTCCAGGAGGTAAAGAATATTCCAGGTATCAGTTGAAAGAATAAGAAAAAATAGAAAGGAAACAGCATAGGGTATGAGAAATTGCCTGTTAATTATACAGTTTATAGCATAAATATGGGTTAATGCCCTTAATGCCCCTTCTCCCATTAATAGATGTCAGGGGACCTCTGAAACACATTTAAAGCTGAAAGAATCATAGGGAATTTATTAGAGAGAAAGCTCTCCATCAAATTCTAATTCATTGCCCTTGCCAAGGTGTCTTTTAGCTGCAAAGGTATGCAGAGTCCTGTTTAGCTTAAAACATCCTTTCTCAACTGGCTCTCCTCCAGGTGTTTTGGACAATAACTCCCAGTATCCCTGTTCCATACATCTGGAGGAAATTGGGTTGAAGAAATGTAGCTGGAATTGGATATGCATGAAAATCATTTTCCAACCTTTTTACATTGCATAGCAAGAGGGAGATAGAAACTCTCCTTTCCACACTTCAGTTCAGGGCTAGCTACCTGCTCACTCAGCCCTAAACCTTAGTAGTCAGTACTAGGTAGAACAGACTGCTGGCATTTGGGATTTACCTAAACAGCAAGTTAGTCATCTGGTCTCAAAACACAACAGTCTTGAGGCGTATAGGAGAACTTTTATAATAGTTCTTCTAAAGTTCCCCATGCCCTACATCTCGTTTAATGCTCTTATCTGCAGAGGTGGAGGATTTGTAAATGACAAACTACCAACTGAATGCCATTTACAAGTATTCATCTACAGAAGGCACCGAGTACAAACTCAGTTTTTCAACATGGAATGTTGGGAATCCACCAAATTCTGTTAGCTTAACTACATCCTCACTGTGTCAAAACACACAGAAAATAATTAGATGACTAAAGAAGATAATCAGCCTGGAAAGATCTATCTTTGGTATTGCAAACCTATGGCTTTCCAGTGCCAGATGAAGACTTCATTCTTTCAGGAAATGTTTGGATGAAGTTGCTCTGTTTGCTGATTCTATCACTACCATCATATTGTTTGATATTTTCCTAATTAATTTTATCGCTCTGCTGTTGGATCTTCTAATGAAATGCTTAGTGTGCAATGCATGCTCAGCCAGACAAAATGTCCTGGCTTGGGAATGCTAGTTCTGTAGACGTGTTGAACTCTATTCCTTTCCTCTGTCTTTATCTTTGGACATATCTGAAAAAGGCTTTTTTTGGAAGTCTATTATTAGGCACTGTTAGAGCTGCTTGCTCTACTGTGGTGCAAAAACCTCTGTCTGTTGTTATGCCTAGGTGTACTTCTCCTTCCCCTGTAGGATTCAGTTTAAAGCCCTCCTGACAAACTTCTTCATGCTGTGGCCAAACACATTCTTTCCAGTTCTTGAAAGGTGCAATCCATGCCATGCCAGCATCTGTCTTCCAAGAAGTGTAGCTCATGGTAATGGAATCAAAGTCTTTCACATCATCACCACCACCTTAGTAGCCAGGCATTTGCTTGGAATATTTTTCTTTCCCTGTCTGTTCCTCCTCCAAGAACTGGAAGGATTGAACAGAAACCTATCTGGGCCCCAAAGTTCTTGACTTTCCTCCCTAAAGCTTCAAAGTCTAATGTGATTTCTTCAAAGCTCTGCTTGGCAGTGCAATTTGTTCCCACATGTATAAGAAGGAAGGGATATGTGTCAGTGAGCTGTATGAGCCTTTCAGTTGTATTTGAACTCCAAGGAGACAGGGTACGTGAGAAGTCCACAGGTCTTCCTAACATACATGTGTTTCCATCTCCCACAACTAACACCCTTCTGTTCTTGTTCTTGTAAGCTTTGGTATCATTGCAACTACTTGGTTGACCTTTAGTCTCTTGTTCAGTGTTGTATGGGACGACTTGTTGCTCTTCCAGGGCAGGCTGCCCATCAGTCTTATCCCCAAGTAACTGGAAACAGTTCAAGAGTTAATCTGCTTCTAC